TCTCCGAGGCACAGGAGTGGAAGTAAAACACCGCCAACTTTCCTACTCCAGGCTGTTACTAACTACGTGACCCGGGACTTGAACACAGGACCTCCGGATCTACAGATATACATGCCAGCAACTGGACCATCCAGGCAATTAACATAGTAATCTAGAAATTATTAAAATATGATTGGAATAATAACATAACAAATTGAAATAAGTACCTACAGCTGATTTATACGTCTTCAAATCTACAATGTCGCCATCATATTTAACGTCTTCAAGACATTTTTTCATACATACCTATTACACACGATTAAAATCACTTATCAGTTATTCCACCCACTATATGAGGTGGTAACTTTCTTTAAAATTCATACAGGACACTTATACCTGTAGGTACTATATATATATTATATAGGTACTATATGTACGGTAGGTACTATATATTATACTACTTAATAATCATAAAAATCTCCTCAATACAGTAATAACATGAACTAGAAGAAAAAAGAAAAGTGTTATTGTTTTTTGTTTGTTTTTCATTTCATGAGTGGAACGATATTTATATGTACTTGTGGGATAAACCTTCCTTGGTTGTATAACCTCGGATTGGATCTATACCCTGAGTGTAGGAATTTTATGTCGCTGGTATCTATAATTATAAATTATACGCGATACTTAGACTACTTTGGCGGCACGTGTTAAGATGACGAATTTTAGAGAATAAATATATATTAAATTATATCTAAACTCACCCCTTTTGCTGCGTTTATCTATATAGTGGCGCACTAACACTGACTAGAATTGATATTTTCAAGGATTTCCAAATTTTTAAAATCCACATAAAGTTTTGCACAACTTCGCAATATTGTAACGGCCATTGTGTCCATGCATTCTTCTATCCAATTACCACGCACGAGCATGGTAGGTAACCAATCCCCGTTAAGAAGTGGGAAGGTGATAGATAGATTATATACCATATAAAATAAATGAGACAAGTATACAATGTGTGTTGCTTTAAAATAATAATGGTAACAAAACTAAACAGTACTTTTTATTTCTATTTATTAAATCGTTCCTGTAATAATAGTCTCTTACAGAAATTTAGGATTATACGTCGATATAACGTTTTATTAGTCTGTTGCATAAAGCTTTTAAGATGGCAAATTGAAATAGATATTATAGATTAATATAATATTTAGTAGCTACATAGATTTAATAATTATGAAAATCTAATTACAATTGGCAAAGATCTAGGAAAAATATATAGAAAAGGCAAAGTAATTTACAAAATTCAAAGAATTAATGAACCTTTGAAAGTTTTCGTTGAAGTATTATATTTTATAAACAATAAAATTATTTCTGTAGCCAGTCGCTGTTAGGTGTGCTAGTCGCGTAGCGCCAATATTGCGTAGAAGGCATAGTAACTACTTAACAAAGTGAATAAAAATATACAAAGTTATGTTTTTTTAATTCAGAAACAATTTAACTTAAGTACTTTTAATTATTTTTGTGGTCTTATAAATTTTGTAAAATATATCTTTCATTATAACATAAGTATAACCATAAATCATTAAATGCTGCTACCAATGTATGCCTTCTTTTCTACATAATATATATTATATATATGTATAAGGGTATTCGCTAAGCGTTGGTGGGTTGCCAAAATGGAACTGGAAACACTATTTATTGTTTACATATATTTACGATTAGGACCAAGGATAGATATATCAGACCGTCCGCGTCAGTGCAAAAATAGCCTAACCCACATTTTTTTATTTTTCGACTTAAATACTACAAAGTATTTTAAATATGATGTAAAGTTTAACTTATAAAAGTTTTATTTATAAAGAAAAATTGCGTTAAAAATTTGTTTTAGCGTTTTAATTTTTTCCACTTTTTAGAAATGTAGATAATATAGTCAAGCCACTCAGTGCACTTGCATTGCCATTGCTGTCATATTATAGCTTAGACTGAATGAGATGCGACCGTAGGCATTAATGTATTATGAATAAAATTTAGAAGAAAATAATAACAGCGGGTGAAAAGTTACATACGATTTGGCCTAACCCTCAAAATGTATTGGGAAGTGGGTTAAATTCATCTTGCTATTTTTCCGCCCTTAGGGGTCGGTTAGGGGTATTAATTTTGTTCACATTTAAATGGGACCAAATCGGAAGTATATACTTTCAAACAAAATAAAAATTGTCAAAATCGGTTAATAAAGTACGGAGTTCTGAGGTAACAAACATAATAAAAATACAGTCGAATTCAGAACCACCGCCTTTTTGAAGTCGATTGAAAATGGCATCATCCACATTTATATTTGAAAAATAGTTATTAGATGTCTATAACAAATTTAGTTCAAAAGAAAATAAGCTAAAAACCAAAAAAACTCTGAAACTCAAGTTAGCGCTAAATGAAAAGTTATAGTATATTTTAAAATATATTTTCATATATTTTATATTATTTTCATATATTTTAAAATATACATATGTATATAATTTTTCATTTAACGCTAACTTGAGTTTCAAAGTTGTTTTTGCGTTTTATCTATTAAATATTTTCATATTTAATAGCCATTTTCTCGAAAACGGCTGTCAGTGGGTTTAGTGTTAGCCTACTTTTACGCTGACGGCCTCAATTTATTTATTATGTAGATATATTTTACTAGAATTCGGATAAGATAGTTTAAGATAGCTAGCTGTGAGCCTGCCATAAAGAATATCTTAACGGTTTCTAGGGCAAACCGTTTTTTCTAGCCTATGCCCAGATTTCGTAAAGAAGTTATGTAATCTGTTTAATAGAAAAATGCTAGTAGAAAATTAGCACAAAAATATTTGCGTGAATAACACATTGAATGGATTGATGGTAATATTTTTGTAGTACTCTTCACGACTTTGCTCTTGTTTTTTGTGAAAAATAAATTGAAAGTACGAATATTCTACATTTTACTCAAACATTTTATTTTGGCAAAGTGCATTGTGCTTAAGTACAGCCACAAATAAAAAAGTAAATCTATCTCTAAAAATATTTATATACATATTTACTGAACGCTACTTCCTAAAGTATTAAAGGTTCAATGAAAGCGAAAAGATCAGATTATTCTGGATCTGGCACCTTCTTGGGTGGATACATGACGGAATTTTGAATTATGCAGGAGATTTAAAGTGCGCTTGGTCCACATTCCCTTTCAGATCACCCAGCTACGTCTCCTCGTTTATATCGATATGCACATTATTAGAAATTTTCCTTACATATACCTATACATATAATAACATTGCAACTAAGTCGAAAATGTACATTAAATATTTTTTGGAAAATCTAATTCAAATAGACATTATTATCGATGCAAAGTCCGAATCTATAGTTTTTAGAATTTTTGTCTGTCTGTCTGTCAGTTACCGCATCACGAGAAAACCACTGGATAGATTTTGATGAAATTTGGTATGGTGATAGCTGGTTATCCGGGTCAACATATAGGATATTTTTACCGCGGGAAAATATCTCATTTCTGAGAAAAAAATCAAAAACTGCATTGTAAGAGTATGCTAGTATGTAAAACCTAATAATTTGATTTTTGGTCATCTGAACGCGGGCGGAGCCGCGGGCATTGCTAGTATAAGATATATTTCAACGAATATAATTTTGATAACATACTTATTTTTATCTTTGCTTATTATATTATTATGTAAACTTACGTCTTCTTATTTTCATAATAATAACATAACAATCTCAATGATAATAGGTATTATAAATCCTGACGACATGGCGTTGAGTGATATCTGGCTGGTAGGTAGCTATCAAATGAGCCGGTCGTCACGGGTTTGATTCCATATTGGGTGACTCAGTCTCGTTAAAACAAAGCGCGATTTTGTTTTTCTTCATCTTATTTTATTCAGCCTTTTAACATTCTTCAGGGCCTTTAATGCGAGGGGCCATAATCCAGCACGTTGGACAAGTGCGGGTTGAATGACTTCAAATGTCTTTCGAAAACTAGATTCTCTAAGCATACAGGTTTTCGCCTTTTAGCGAAGGCGAATGGTAATCATCTAATAACAAATATTCGCTCATGAAAATATCAAAAATGCGAGAGAACGGGGTTTAAACCCGGTTCACTTGGTTTTCCAAGCGAACGCGTTACCACTAAACCTGCCTTTTGCTTTGAGACTACATATGTTCTACTGTTCAGTACAATCTTAACATGAACACAAAGTAAAAGGAACTGTTATTGCTTTTTTGTTTGGTTGTATATTAAATAGTTTCTGTAATAATAGATTGTTACAGAAAACTTTTTGATTATATCTAGATATCACGATATAATCTTCTACATGAGGCTTTTTGGAGAATTCGCTGTTTTTTGGGTATAATTTAAAATAAAATTGTCCAAAATAAGACTACAATTTTAATAAACGTTCAACACGTTTTTACTTATATAAAAGTTAAATAACATTAGTTACATATAAAAATTTTATACGTAACAAAATTAAAAAAAATATTATTTTACTGACAACAAAGGTGAAACTCCATTACATTAATTACATAGCAAATTGGAACATACAGTATATATATAGAGTATACTCTATTACTATAATAACATCCTATATTATAAATGCGAAAGTTTGTGAGGATGTATGTCTGAATGTATAGATGTATGGATGTTTGTAGCTATTTCACGCAAAAGCTACTGAATGGAGTTTAATGAAACTTTACAATAATATAGCTCATATATCAGAATAATACATAGGCTACTTTTTATCCCAGAAAAATTTATGGTTCCCGTGGGATAATTTGTTTTCGTTTTTCTGGCTAGTACTTCATAATACAGTAAATGCTAAGATTTCCTATGTAAAATAGTATAAATCTGATTTGATATTTTTTTAGTCATTTAAATAATATAAAATACCTATGTTAGATAGAACATTTGTATAAAGAGTTTTTTTAAAGATTATTTATTAATTATGAAAATTAAATAACTTTACTAGAATCATTCATATTTAACTTAATATTTATTACAACAATAAATATCCATAACTGCTTAAATCATCTATAATTCCACTAACTATTTCTCTATATTTATTTTCAGCCTGTTCTTTTTCTTCTTCTGTTGTTAATATTACTTTACTTCGAACATGACCTTCTTGTTGTAAGCCACTTGATAGCCAAATTGCTGTGTTTGCTACAATAAGGCATGCAGGTCCTACCATTTTCAAATCATAAAACAACATGTCTTTTGAATATACTTTTTTAGGTTCCACATCACACAGTAATAGAGTTTCTTCCAGAGTTTGATAATAGGTATCCAAAAATTGGTTGAAATGTATTTTTCTTAATGATGCTGAGGTGCTACTAACAATTAGATATAATAGATCATATGCCGGGCTGCTGACTCGAGTTGTTTGGTAGTCTATTATACAGGCAGATTGAGGTATATTATTCTGAAATATTAGATATTGAATTAAAGAACTCATTTTACCAAACCATTTCATTGTAATATTACCTTATTGATAATTTACCTCATATTGGAACAAAATATTTTCTTTCCAAATATCACCGTGACAAAGGCATACACTTTTTACTGAATAAGCTGTTGATTCAATTAGATTAACACAATTGTGTTCCAATTTCTCTATTAGTGGAACATAACAAGTATTTTGAAACATTTTTAAGGCTTTTTTAAGTCTATCTAACAATATTTGAATATACCTGGTGTTATTGTTTTCTGTTAAAGGAACACAAATATCCTTTGCTTCTTCAAATAACTTTATGTCCTTTTCTTTCAGAATAAATGACAAACTGTGCAGTCTTGCTAAAGATTTAAGTGCTGAGTTTATATGGTTTAAATCTAAAAACATACTGTCAACAAATGGTGTATAGCCTTTATCACACATATTCTCCATAGCTATTACTTCATGACAATATTCTTTGCATATATAATAGCATTTTGGTATAATAAATTGATTTATTACAGGCAGAGTATTCTGTATGTCTTGATATTTAAATAGAAGTTTTGAATAAATGAATATTTCCCTCGCAAACATAATAGTAATTGCACCACTTACTCTAAATCTTTCGTCTGTTGGTGCTAATTTAAGAACAATAGGAAAATTTATGTAGTTCCCACAAACTTTGCCAATTAAATTTATCGGTATGAGTAACCCAAAATAGTTTTGAGCTACATTTTCAAAACTTTTTTTAGTAAAACTCCATTCTTTTAAATGCAATTCAGACGCAACATTATTTATCACGGTTTGTAAATATTTTTCTGAAACAGTAGTCATCTTTTTAAAATATAGCATACAATTTAATATGTAACTTAAAATATAATGCCAATTTTATAATAAATGTAAGTAAACAAGTAATTTTGATAAGTTGTTATCTCCTGTTAAGAATACAAGTCAAGAGCATAGATGTCAGATCAAATATATTCATGTAAGTATCGATAAATATGAATATCTAGTCACTCAGTTTATTATTATTCCTTCTTTGTAACTTTTAGGGGTGCCAGTTAGGCACATTTTACTTCGCCAATGTCATGCAGAAATTAGTGAAAATAGAAGTTATAGAAAGAAGAGACAACGAAAAGAATAACTAGTAGAAAGTTCAATTCAATTCGTTAGTTTCGTAGCTTCTAGGAATGCCATTTGGGCACAATTTACTACGCCTATGTAGCGTAGAATGGAGAACGAGAAGACACGTTACATATAGAATGACCGGTAGGCGGTAAAAAAGAAGAAAAACACTAGAGAAGAAAGTTAGAATTTAGAGTTCATAAAATATAGTTATGTCAATCATGGATGACAAACAAAGATGTCAATTGTCACATGTCAATTGTCAACATGGAGTATAATGATTTTTATCGTAATCTGTGGTAATGAAAACATAAATAGTTTAATTTTAGTTTTGGTTAACATTATATCTAATATTGATACAACATTATTAAAAATAAATTCATACAGCTAAGGAACTATTATTACAAACTCAAGAGAAAAAACGTTATAATATGTAAAAATATGAAACATTAACTAAAAGCCTACTTTGTAAACAATATTCATGATTTAAAATACCTTATACAATCAAACTGTATAATTCCATAATTAATTAGATTATAATTTTTATAATTCTTACATAATTTTATACGAGTAAAATTAGTAACAAACTATAAAATTTTACTAACTTTTGTCGTATAGAAACTGTCAAAATAATGCTATAGGTAAGTAGAGTACACGATATGGATTTATTATTTAAGTCGTATTTCATGTTAAAGCAAAAACACACCTACCTACTATGAGTCCCTAGGTAGGTACAATATATAAACATTGATAAGATTCCCCCAAAGACTGTTTCACGGAACTAACGACATTTACAGTAAGTACTACTTACTTAACAGTGACAACTGACACTCACTATTCTTAATATTCTAGTCTCTATCACTTTATCTTTATGTATACGAGTAAAAGTCCGTTGTGCGTGTGTTCGTAATAATTCTTCTGCTCCTCAAGAGCTTGAAATTTTCATTTTTTTTTCTTATATGGTTGTTAAATGTATATCTACTTGAATGATTCTTAACTATAGTTGGACCCGGTAAGTAGAGCTGTCGAAAATATCCAGAAATATGTTTTTAATTTTCCTATAAACATTATTTAACATTTTTTATAAGCCTTAACTTTCCGCTGGGATTTTGAGCGGAAAATTGGGAAATTCGGGAAATTGGGAATCGGGACTCTTTGAATAGATACAATTATTGAAATTGGACAGGACACCGACTGTCGTGCCAGCTAGTATTGTATACAGACTTAGTAATAACCAGCTTGTTCATTGACTTACACCTAATCTACAGAACTCGGTTATAAGATTATCAAACAGTGTTTACTCTGACAATGTATTTAAATTAGATAAACAAATGGTAAAATCTGACGAGATGGTCAACAAGCATGGGGCCTAATGAGAAAAGGTCTCACAAAACATCATGTGCAAAATAAGTTACAATTTAATAAAAGTGTAAATACCTTATTTTATAAAACGTTACAATGAATTTTAATATAGATATAGTGTTTTTAAATTAAAAAAAAGTGTTAGAAGCTCTTTTTTAAAGGTTAAGCGTAGGCGAAATGAGCCGCCTACTCGTTAAGTATAGGACATAATCTCGTTTGAGTGGGTAGAGATGATCATGATATAGAATTCAATATTTATATTTGTGATGCATTTAATAACTTCTCCAATTTGACGCAAGACATGACATCTAATTGTCTTAAAAAATTCAATTATAGTCGTTGCGTCGATTTTTCTAACGCAAAAAACGTTTGCCAGACTCTTTTGATCTATTTAATCACTAACATTAATAAAAATCTTAATAATAATATTAGTGATTAAATTATTTCTTATCGAACTCTACTTCTGAATCAAAATGTGTAAAGATTCTATGGAACAACCTTACAACCTTAATGTGATTGCACTCTGCAAAGTGAAAGAAATCAAATGTTTATTAAGTTCTAATTGACCAAATTAAAATTTAGGATAAATTTTAAAGCCATATAGTACTAACCAAAAAATTGAAATTCAAACATTTTCGCGTAATAGGATAAAAAAATTTAATGTACAGATTCGGCTTAGTTACAATTTTATTATATTATGTAGATATTATATTACCTTTATATATATATTTTGGAAAATCTCATTGAAATAAACATTATCGATACAGAGGCTGAATCTATAGTTTTTAGAATTTTTGTCTGTCTGTTACCGCATCACAGAAAAACCACTGGAGGGATTTTGATGAAATTTCGTATGGTGATAGCTGGTAATCCGGGTCAACATATAGGATACTTTTTACCGCGGGAACATATCTCATTTCTGAGAAAAAAAAACTGCATTGTAAGAGTATACTAATGGAGCCGCGGGCAATGCTAGTTCTATTATAAATGTGAAAGTTTGTGAGTATTTATGGAGGTTTGTTACTCTTTCACGCCAGAACGGCTGAACAGATCTGCATAAAATTTGGCACAGAGATAGATTATAGTCTGGAATAACACATAGGCTACTTTTTATACCGAAAAAATATACGGTTCCCGAGGGATAGATTTGTTTTTGTTTTTCTAGAGGCGAACCCGAATGAAGTGAGGGTGAGCCGTTAGTTCAGAATAAAAAAAAATACTTACAATAACTATATTTAAATTATCACAGATTTTATAAAACCTATGTGTATGTAATCAGCCCCTTTTTAACGTTCCACTGCTGGGCACGGACCTACTACCCCGCACCCGCACTTGGCCAGCGTGGTGGGCCACTCGTTTCCGCACGATATTCTCCTTCACCGTAAGGCAAGTGGTAATCATGCCGGGAAATGATTCGCAAATAAAAATATCAGAGGTGCGAGACCCAGATTTAAAACCGCTTCACTCGGTTTCCCAAGCGAGCGGGTTAGAACTGAGCTAGCACTGCCTGAATTTTATATTATACAGTTAAAAATATAGTTTATTTTTAACAAACCAATAGGTTAATTGGCATGATATTCTAAACATACCTTTTTAATTAAGGAACTTAAACGTTCCTTAACGGTATACCTGCAGTTTACAATTTATTCCTTTTAGCTATTAGAATTACTTTAGATATTTTACCAACATAATCCAATCACGTCGGCGTAAAGCCTTGAAGGTCAAAAATATCGAGGGGATAACCGCACGTTGAATACCAACTAACACCTCTTTAACAATATTTCTGATGTCTCCAAAATTACCTCTACACATTGCTAGAAAATATTTACTAGTATAATATCACAAGTGTACCCGCCCTGGCTTTACCCAAGTGTGCGTGGATATACTTACATACGTAAGTGGCTGTATATGTAGGTACTTAGCGTTGTTATACTTCTCGTATAGGTATATATGTATGTTTATATGTACACTTACTAGACAGTCAGATATATTAACACCTCCAAGTAAATTTATCATTAATCAATATAATAATAATATCATTATCCAAGGAGGGATTAATGATTCAATGCAATAAAAAATAAAATGTGACTTTTGTTCTATTTATTTTGGGTAAACCATTGAGCCAGCTGCAGCTATTTTTTTTCTCTTTGCTTAACTTAAATAAAGTAGCCTGTTTGTATTCAGACTAATACCAATTGTCTGTTACCGGTCATACGCCTCCTTACTCTTATATTATATATTATTATCCTACTTACACTTATATTAATTACTACCACAGTTTACTAATCCCGGATACATTCGTCTAACGAAAACCAGCAACGTCAAAGCAATCGAAATCGATTGCCATGAAAATTGGCATTTTTTCCCTTCAATAGGCGATCACTATATGGATTTTTATACTGTTCTACGACTTTGATGATATGTCAAAGAAGTTTGCGGCACGCACACAACTATTCAACAAATTTTTATCACAATAGTATGAAAACCACACCTTCTTCATAAATTTACAACCGAACACAGACGAAGCAACATTAATTTTATATGTAAAAATTTTAATGTTTCTTTAAAAATAGCAATGTAGAAAAAATTATTAATAATGTAGAAAAAGTTAAATGCAAGCTTAACAGTTTTTATCGCCTCTTTTGCGCCGGCCGAACGTGCTTCTATAGGTACTGTTAATTTTATTCAGAAGTTGCCTATTAAGGGTTTCTTTAGCCAATCGATTCATTTAAATAAAAACGACGTGAAACGTGACATTTATATATATTCATTTAATTCATTGTGAAAGAGAGTTACGGCTGAAATATGCTTCTCGCATTTTTTTTCTTTTACTGTATCATGTCCGAAACGGATTCTTTTTCTGACCAAAAGTGGACAACAACGCCCTCCGCGCACATACATAACTAGATTCATCACTAACTCTATAGCCACAAGTGACGATATACTTCAAAAGTGGTTATCAAGTAGCCCCAATTTAGCAGTCCAGTAATTTTCTTCCTATATATTGCTATCCATAATATCTAGAATTTATAATATAAAATTTTCGGTCACTGAGACATGGTTGAACTCATAAAGTTTTTATTTATTTTTTTAATATTGGGAAATGCATATATACAGGTGGTATGTATATTTATGCATACCATCTGTATATATGTATACATGCAGGTGGTTATGTGGGACTCACCGGCTAAACAGAAAGTGCTTCTAGTACTAAAACCCAACAGAACCTCTCCCGTCTCATGGGGCATCGCAGGATCGCATACGCAGTCAACCACGACGCCCCAACGGCAGATCTGCCGAAGCAGACCACTCGTTGCTCAGTTGCTCCCTCGGTCCACTCTGATAAA